TATATGTAGCCATTTGCAATTTCTTTTGTCATTTGTTTGTCACATTGCGAAGTCCGCAAGCTCGTAATTAATAGCTGACCGCAAAGGGTGAGGCCAGAGTGTACGCTTTCTAGGTATTATTTTGACTATTATTTTTTATTTATGAAGAAATTTAAAATATTATCAATATTTTGTGTAATATGGGAAATGTGGGTTTCATAAGAATGGTCTTTTATTAAAAAATAAAGGTTAATACAGATTTAAACAATCACAGTGGTTTAAATAATTTATACAGTATGTAACAAACAACCCGTTGGTCGTTTCAAGGAGGTATAGGTGTACTAGGAATTGGATTTTCTGCCGACTTCCAAAAAGTACTTGAGGTACTCAATTCGACTGTATGTTTTTTTTTCTTTTTTTATGTATGCTACCTCATAACTTTGTACTGAATGAACCGATTTCGATGATTCTTTTTTTATATGAAAGCTGATAGTTCTTGTGTAGTCCCATATGAATTTAATCAAGGTCAGATGAATGGTTATTGAGTTATTCTTAAATAACTTATATTGAAGTTGCTTATATCGAATTCGACTGTACAAAATTTTTAATTTTAAATTATAGCGTTTCTAATCAAATAACTAACTAAATTTATTATTTCTAAAAATGTTATTTGCATCTGAACTAAACGACACATGCCTACATACCTACAGCCACTGTGAAGTCTCTGACATGGCCGATACATCATTTTTTAAAACAAGCTGCTGCGCATCGCGCGCACCAGGGGTATGAAAGTCCTCAGTAGCTTGCTTTTACGTTAATACTAGCGCCATCTCATAGTCAGCCAAAGTACTATTTTCCCCAATATTTTTACACATTTTATTATAAGATGGCTCCACTGCTGGTATTCATTATTTATATCGAAGCCTAAATCATACTATCAAAGTTTTAAAATACAGCGGTATGTATATAGAATAAGTCTATAATAATAAACGAATAAATTTAAACCATGCTCATCTAAAACATACTAAATAAAGAGTTATTTAAAACAAATTAATTAGTAATTATATACATTTCCTTTTAATATTATTGAAATATGTACGAAATAATACTGAACCTAGTTGATAACGCCCTCTAGTGTAATTTTAAGTAAATTTTTAATCCCAACGCCATCTATAAGAGCGCTCAAGAGACTTCCCTGTTTTCGACACCTAATAATTTGTCAGAGTGGCTCATCTATACCCTATATAGTATATTATCTATGGCGCGCACCCCCAAGGTTTGTGTGTGAATGATCCCCTCAACGGTATCTTTCAAGATGGCGGATCATATCTTATATGTTGCAACCACTTCGGCAATTTTTAATGCTACGAAAAAATAATTTACTTAATTCGTGTTTTCTTTAAATAAATGGGTATAATGTTATGGTTTATACAATAAAGTAGTTATAATAAAAATTATTTACGTCTATTACGGCTATCACTAAAAGTATCGGGAATGGAATATTTCCACTGTTCCCGTCATATTAAAATCTTTTTAATTGAAAAGTCCTTGGTTTTTTAAAATTGAATACCATTTATTTATTTAAAAAAAGATTCTCGGTCTTGTCAAAAGGTTTTGTCAAACTTGTTTAGTCGTTGAGAAAATGGAATTGACTCGAGAAAATTCAAGAGCGATGATTTATTATGACTTTCGAAGTGGTTTAACACAAAAACAGTGTGTTGACCGGATGATTTCTGCATTTGGTGATAAAGCCCCATCCAAAACCACAATTTATCGCTGGTTTGCTGAATTTCAACGTGGACGTGTCCAGCTCAGTGATGATCCCCGTCAAGGTCGTCCAAAAACCGCAGTCACCCAAGAAAACGTTGATGCTGTGCGTAAGCTGATTGAGGAAGATCGACATGTGACATACCGCGAAATTCAAGCAACTTTAGACATTGGCATGAGTCAAATACAAATAATCTTGCATGAACAATTAGGTGTAAAAAAGTTGTTTTCTCGATGAATACCGCATTCGCTCTGTGAAGAGCAAAAAGCGGCTCGCGTTACTTGGTGCATCAGAACTCTCGAAAGATTCCACGAAGGATCCTCAAATGTTGTATACAACATCGTATCAGGTGACGAATCCTGGATATATGCGTACGAACCCGAAACAAAAAAACAGTCACGAGTTTGGGTGTTCGAAAATGAGTTAAAGCCAACGAAAATTGTTCGTTCACGGAGTGTTGCAAAAAAAATGGTGGCCACGTTTGTCTCCAAAACCGGCCATGTTATGACTATTCCTCTTGAGGGACAAAGAACGATTAATGCAGAATGGTAGGCTAGCATTTGTTTGCCACAGGTCGTTTCTGAACTCTGTAAAGAGAACTGCAACCGCCGCATCATCCTCCATCACGACAATGCGAGTTCTCACACCGCACACAGAACAAAAGAGTTTTTAGAGCAAGAAAACATAGAATTATTAGACCATCCGCCGTACAGCCCCGACCTAAGCCCTAATGATTTCTATACTTTCCCCAAAATAAAGAATAAATTGCGTGGACAGAGATTTTCATCACCTGAAGAAGCTGTGGACGCCTACAAAACGGCCATTTTGGAGACCCCAACTTCCGAATGGAATGGTTGCTTCAATTATTGGTTCCATCGTATGTAAAAATGTGTCAAATTTCGTGGAGAATACTTCGAAAAGCAATAAATACATTTTTTAAATAGTAATGTTGTGTCACTTCCTTGATTCCCGAAATTTTCAGTGGTGCCTAACATTAGTGCTAAAAGCGAAGTTATTTCCAGTATTTTTTTTTCTAGATACAGTTATTCTCAGAAACTTTAAATATAAATATAATAGAAATAATAATGAAAATATTTTAGTAATATGCTGGTAGTTTATGAAAATTCCATATCTCTTCTCGAATACGTAATAATATTTAATACTTTCAAGTTTATTTTATATTATAAATTATCTTACCAAAATCTTTTTACGAAGTCACTTAACGAGAAAAATTCTTCATTCCGCTACGGAGATGACGATGTTTTGAAGAGTTCTAACAGTTTCTAAAATTATGTTGACATTCTTCATTCATTCATTACGATCTATCAAAGTCAACTACTGAACATAAGCCTATCCAACGGAAAACCTCATAATTTTTTCTCATATTTTTCATACCTTCATTCCATGGCTTTTGAGAAACATTTTACTGATGTTCCTTTTTTGACAACAAAATCATTAAATTCTTCTCCTACTGTCGCCGAATCATTGCTCAAACAAAATGTAAAGGCTTGTTCAAATACTTTTAAATTCCATAGATTACTGCCAAAAGATATCGTTAAATATTTTAAAACTATTGATGTTAAGAAAACTGCAGACTTATGGGGGATTTCCGTTAAAGTTATTTTATCTATAATAGATATAATAGCACCTTATTTAATACAAGCGTCGAATCTGTTGTGTTTCCTGATTTAATGAAACATAGTAAAGTCATGCCTTTATTTAAATCTGGTAGTACATTAGACCCCACCAATTTTAGACCGATTTCTGTGCTACCAACGTTTACTAAAATTTTTGAAAAATAATTTTTGATCAGATGTTAAGTATCTTTAATATTAATAAATTGCTACATAAAAATCAATTCGCTTTTACAAGGGGTCGCTTGACAACTGACGCTGGAGTTGAGCTTATTAAACATACTTTTTGTGCATGGGAGAATTCAGAGGATGCTTTGGGTATATTTTGTGACCTTTCCAAGGCCTTCGACTGCGTTCACCATGAGACATTAATCAGGAAGCTACAGTACTATGGTGTCAAGAACACAGCGCTTAAACTCATTATTTCATATTTAAATAATAGAATGCAGAAAGTTATTATCAATGGTAAAAGTTCTTCCGGGTCACCTGTACTAATGGGTGTCCCTCAGGGCTCCATTCTCGGCCTATTCCTATTTCTAGTGTATATTAATGACTTACCTACTCTTGTAGGGTATAATCATGATATAGTATTATTTGCTGATGATACTTCCTTGATTTTTAAACTTAAACTTCAATCATTTAAATGTGACGAAGTGAATAATGCTATATCAAAATTAGTACATTAGTTTAACTTTAGTAATCTACATTTAGACGGAGATAAAACTAAATGTATTAAATTTACAACAACTAATGTTAAAAATCTGAGTGCCAATGTGTTTTTAAATGGGAAAGCACTGAGCCCTGTTGAATACACTGTTTTTCTTGGCATCACTCTCGACGTAAAGCTTCAGTGGGGTCCCCATATGTCCAAACTACAAGACTAAGTTCTGCAGCCTATGCTGTAAAAAAGATTAGAGGTCTCACTAGTGTCGAGACAGCTAGATTAGTTTATTTCATTTATTTCCGTAGTATAATATCTTATGGGATTTTGCTATGGGCAAATGCGGCTGATTCTGAAACTATTTTTGTTTTACAGAAGAGGGCCATTAGAGCTATTTACAATCTAAAACCGAGAGAGTCTCTTAGAGATAAATTTAAAGAAATAAATATATTTCTTTGGCCTCTCAGTATATTTACGAAAATTTAACACATTCTCTGCCGCGTACTACACACACCTAAACTAGATCGAGACGCCGCGTAGGGCATCAGTGACCTCAAGGTAGACCTAAGTTTGAAACTGATTTGTGAGCCGTAGGCCATTATTACCGAACATTTCTCTATAGCAGGTGACCGGAATGGCGCTGTAGACCAATCCTTCAGTGTGGTTTGTGAGTAATCGTAAATTTGTTGAAAATGTGGGTGAAATTGCAAAACAATTAAGAAAAAACAAAGGCATCCATTATGAATCGTGTTTATGTATAATAACTATTGAACAGTTAGCTACTACATTATTAAAAAAAAACCTTTACAAATAACGTTGAGATTTATTGAAGCATTTGTAGGCAATAATATATTGTACCAGGACAGTTCTTACAGTATGTAACTACTTTTTTAATTTTATTCCGAGCGACTTTTGACCGTCTTTTGAAACGTCTCAATTTAGCAACAGGTCCCTCTCTTTACAGCAATTCGTGTTTCATTCTTTTAGGTCTCTCCTGCCGCTGTTCACAATTTTCTTTATCGACTCCTGAATCCACAAGATACTCGACTAACTGACGCCTGAATTGCACTATACCCTGATTAGTGTTTTTGTTCTCTTTATACATAATCCAAGCATTCACCAGCGCTGTGCTTAAAATAAGCTCAATAGCCAGTTTTTTGTACCACTTCAGAGTTTTTCTGAGTGGTGAAGAATATGAAGTCATTTGATCACTCATATCGACTGAACTTTTTGCTTCATTGTAGGCAAGTATAATTTTTGGTTTTTTAATAGCTCTACTTTTCTTTAGAACCGTTCGTTTGCCGTTTGAGTATTTCGTCGAAAACACTAAGACGTCGCGCTTATCCTTCCATTTGAGAACAGTTATACCCCGTTGATTCTCCATAGCTATGGATTCGCCTTTTTCCAGTTTGGCTTCGACTACTGCCATTGGCAAACCCCTTCTATTCTTTCTAATTGTTCCAATTAGGTAGGTGTCGTGGTTCAGTAGTTGTTTTGCCAAGTCCAAATTGGTATACCAATTGTCGGTGGCAATTGTATGACCCAAATTTAATATGTCATCACAGAGAGACATTACAACGTTTGTAGGTGTTGTGTTAACCATTTCATGATTTTTACCAGCATATAGTTGTAACTTACAGGTGTATCCTGGGAGGGTACAAAGCTTAAACATTTTCATGCCATATTTGTGTCATTTACTTTTATTATACTTGCGAAAAATTATGCGCCCTCTAAATGCTACTTGGCTCTCATAGACACATACGGTTTCATTTGGGGCGTACAATTTTTTTAAATTTTTGTTCAAAGCATTGATGAGGGGTCGAATTTTAAAAATTCTGTCGGATTTGTCCGCTGTCTCATTATCAGTGAAGTGAATCATTCTCAAAAGCAAATAAAAAAAATTCAAATCGATTCCTGCTCATAATAGTGGCTGGAAAATGTTGCCCGAACACCCTGTCTTTACTCCAGTATAAATTTATTTGAGGAAGTTTCACCAGTCCCATGTACAGGATTAACCCAAATAATTGTTTAATCTCATCTTTTGATGTCGGTTTCCACTCATTTGCACGAGACTTAGGTTTTAAGGTTTTTGATAGTGATTGCTGTGCAAAAAAATTTTTTTCGTTTGCAATCGTCTCAAAAAGACTGTCTGGGACCAAAACACTGAAATATTCTCCCGCTGCACTATTTTTCAATTCTCTCGCATATGGTTGCTTCATACCTGTAAGCAAGAAATAAATAATACGAGGGACAATTTAACGCAAGCGAACTGGCCCTAAAATAAAATTATCGCGAGATAATCACGGACAGACATACATACAGGTCAAACTGAGAACCTTTTTTGAAGTCGGTTAAAAAAGTATTCAGCACTTACCAGTTGGTTCCGTGAATGCTATGACGGATGGTTGATGTTCTCGAGGTCGTGTCCATTTTTGTACTGAATTAGATGTTTTTCTATACGAGCAATTTGATTAGAGATATAATTTTCAACCGGCCCCGATTCACTTTCGGAGCTACTTGCAATCACACGACGGTAACGTTTTTTTGTTGGTAGGATAGCATTTTCACTAATTTCTTACTCGGAAAAATTGCGTATCTCACTAAAAATACTAGATTCTAGTGCTTCAATATGTTATAAGTCTTCTTGAGAAATATCTAAGTCAAAGTCTAGATCGGATATATCCATTTCAGTAAATAAAAACGTTCACAGACACAAACTCAACCGTTCGGCGCAAGCGCTTACAGACAACTGAGGTGTGGGGGTGACCGGAGGCGTGCCCTACCCGGCGCCTCCATAACGAATATTCACTTTTAAATATTACAGCGCCGCGTAGGTCAATTATGACCTCACGAAGTTTTTTTTGAAATATCTACGGAATCCAGTTGCAGAACAAAACACTTCATATATAAAAATGTATATTTTGACCTAACGTTTATATTTCCACCAAAAAGTTTTTTTTTTTGTGTTTTTCATCTTTTATACTACCGGCAGAGAAGGTGTTAATGTATGTTCACAAAAACAAAGGTAGTTTTAGTAAAAAAAGTGATGTACATTCTGTAAACACTAAGAACAAACACAAGCTAGTGATACCAGTTTCTCGACTCCACAGAGTCAGTAATTCATTCATGGGGCAATATATACGCTATTACAACAGGGTCTCGGAAAGTGTACAGGCTCTCTTTATTACCAAGTTTAAATGTTTTGTTAAGTTGAAACTGTATAAACAGGGTTATTATAGTATAAATGAATACACGGTTGATAATAACCCCTGGAAATGAGGTGGTTACTTCCAAGCTGTTTCTAAAATAAATTTTGTATCTACCAATCATAAATGTAAAATATGTTTATAAAAACAAAGTCCCGCTGGGTTTCTTGCTGGTTTTTCCCAGGACAGAGGTTCTTTTTTCGAACCAGTGGTAAAGAAAAAAATGACTTCCAATAAGAATTACACATGTGATCTATATTGAATAAAAAATTATTCTATTCTATTCTATTCTTCCACTTTTGCCAGGCGGGTTGGCGGGATGGCCAGGTGTAGAGAACCGGAGACCCTTTTTACTGGAAAAGAGGCATTCCATCTTAGTCATAGATGTAGATGTAGATGTAGATGTCTATGGGCCGCAACAACCACTTACCATCAGGTGCTAGTTTGTCACCCTATACTATAAAAAAAACCCGCGGTTTTTTCTTGGGACTAGTTGTTGTTAGGAAGATGCCGTTACCAATCTCCTGATTTCCATCTGCCTTTTACCACACTCACGACCACGACACGACCACAACCACGACTTGGAGTAATGAATATTCTTTCACCGTCTGTTTAGGCCAAAATCGTAATATTTTAAAAACTTACATCAAGATGCGCGCGTGGCGCGTCACCCGATGGTTTGAGGTGAGGTAAACGCCGCCGGGGTGGGGCCGTATGCCGCTTCCCGTCTTTCGGCCTCGTGGGCTAGCAACAGCGTATTGAACGCCGCGGCATTGTCGATGTGGCAGCACGGCCGTAGCTGTTGACCGTTCGGCAATCGTCGGGAGCCCTCGGCTGCGCTGGAGCAACCGGTTCGTTTTTCGCCGCCTCGCCAGTCGATATGACCGTCCGACGCCGTGAGGCCGCTCGTCCGCGCTCCGATCCACGACTTTAAACTTCGTAGAAATAAACGGTTATTTAATATATGTGGTGTGTTGATTATTCGCATTCCCACATATAATTGGTGACCCCGAGTTCTCAAAAAAAAAACTGTATATTCGTGCAGTGTGTGTGAACTGTGTGTTTTTTTTTCGGTTTAAATAAATTGACCGTTGTAATGATGTCAAAGAGTGGAAATACGACAAGTGACGAACAAGAAGTGTGTCGAGTGGCTATTAAGGTACCTCCATTTTGGCCGGACGAGTACGCGCTTTGGTTTGTACAGTTAGAAGGACAATTTGTGCTTTCAAATATATCGCAGGACAATACAAAGTTTTACCATGTAATTGCTAATCTGGACTATAAATACATATCGGAGGTTAAAGACATTATAACTAATCCACCAGTTGAGAATAAATACGAAAAGTTAAAAAAGGAGCTTATATCGAGGTTATCGGCTTCTCAAGAGCAAAGAGTTCGGCAGCTTGTGGCACACGAGGAATTAGGAGACCGCAAACCTTCGCAGTTTCTACGGCATTTGCGCAATTTGGCTGGAACCGATGTCCCAGACGAATTTATCCGATCTTTATGGACGAGTCGCTTACCAAGTCATATTCAAGCTATCATAGCTACGCAGACAGATGTGAACTTGGATAATGTAGCTTTATTGGCGGATAAGATCAACGAAGTCACTCTCCAACCTCAGGTGCACCACATAGCCACACCGCCACACTACACCGCCACTTCAGCCACACCGTCAACTTCGTCCGAATTTGAAGAATTGAAGCGCCGCTTAGTAGACTTATCTCGTCAGGTGGCCTCTCTGACAATGTCACGTTCTCGCCCTCGTTCCCGATCACGTGGTCATCATCCCAATGGTCAACGCCGCTCACGAAGCCGCTCTGCTACTGGCACATGGAAGTGCTGGTACCATTGGAGGTTTGATAGCTCTGCAACTAAGTGTCGCTCCCCTTGCACGTTTTCACAGGGAAACGACAAGGGCAGTCCATAATGGCGGCCGATGACTGCCGTTCACCAGGCCGCTTATTCATGACAGACATTAAAACAAAAGTACAATACTTAGTCGACACTGGTTCAGACTTAAGTGTATTTCCGTTGTGTAAATTACGCAGTAAGAGACTACATAAAACAAACTATGAGCTTTTCGCAGCTAATGGCTCAGCAATCGCTACGTATGGTTGGGTTAATTTACCTTTAGATTTAGGCTTACGCCGCGCTTTTAGTTGAAGATTTGTGATAGCTGACGTCACAAAACCAATTATTGGCATAGACTTTCTTTCATTTTTTAATTTGCTTGTAGACGCCAGACACCATCGTTTAGTAGACAATACCACCTCTCTTATTGCTAAGGCTTATTCTGCTTCATCATTTGCTTTGTGCCAAATTAAAGTGTTTACAGGTACTTCACGCTATCATAGCCTGCTGTCACAGTACCCTGAAATCACGCGGCCGTCTGGAGATCCTGAGGTACGGGAAGTGAAGCACCACACCGTCCATTTCATCTACACTACGCCTGGACCACCTGTCTTCTGCCGTCCACGACGCCTGGCACCGGATCGGCTCCGCATTGCCAAGCAAGACTTCGAGGACATGGTAAGAATGGGTAATGCCCGGCGCTCCGACAGTGCATGGTCCTCACCGTTACACTTAGTACCAAAAAAAGATAACACGTTTCGTCCATGTGGCGATTACCGTGCGCTCAATGCCCGGACAATCCCCGACCGATATCCAGTTCGCCATATAGGTGATTTTACACACAATCTTTTTGGCTGCCAAGTGTTCAGTAAAATCGACCTGGTGCGAGCGTATAATCAAATTCCATTCCACCTTTCGGCTTGTTTGAGTTTCCTTTTATGGGGTACGGATTAAGGAACTCGGCGCAAACTTTTCAACGATTCATGGACGAAATCCTTAGGGACATAGACTTCGCTTTCCCTTACTTAGATGACATCCTGATTGCGTCAAAAGATGAAGCTAACCACGAGCGTCATTTGTGTACAGTCTTCGAGCGCCTTCGAGAGCTTGGTGTTGTCATAAATACTGCTAAAAGCATCTTCGGAGTACCAGAGGTGGAATTTTTAGGCTTCATGGTCTCGGCTGACGGTACGAGGCCCACAAAAGAAAAGGTCAGTGCTATTTTAAATTTTCCATTACCTAAAAATGTACGAGAGCTCAGAAGATATCTTGGTATGTTAAATTTTTATCGCCGATTCATACCAAACGCTGCTCAAGTACAGACGCCGCTGCATCTTCTATTAAAAGGAGAAAGTGTAAAGCCTCACGCTCATTACCTGGAATCCAAAACTCGAACAATGTTTCGCAGAAAGTAAGTCAAGTTTGGCAAATGCCAGTTTATTAGCTCATCCCGATCCGACAGCAGAATTGGCGATTGTTACGGACGCATCAGATACTGCTGTAGGAGCAGTTCTATAACAGAAGAATGACTCAGACTGGATACCGTTAGCATTCTTCTCCAAAAAGCTTAACACAGCTCAAAGGAAGTATAGCCCATATGATAGAGAGCTGCTAGCTATGTATGAGGCAATAAAATATTTTAAATTTATGATAGAAGCTCAATCGTTTACATTATTCACTGACCATAAACCACTTATATCAGCATTTAATAAAAATTCACAGAATTTATCACCACGACAATTTCGATACCTTGATTACATATCACAATTTACAACAGATATCAGGTATATTAAAGGTGACGATAACATTGTTGCGGATACACTTTCTCCGATAGACGCTATCTCAAACGTAATAGACTTACAAAAACTTAAAATTTCACAAGAAAAGGATAATGACCTCGTTAAACTTATAGAAGGCAATTCTTTACTGAAGCTGCAGAAAGTTGCCATTTCTGACTTCGGGAAGAAACTGTACTGCGACATATCCGGTACGTCTCCTCGTTTATATTTTCCGTTAGAATTTCGTCGTGAAGTATTTGATTCGATACATGGGTTAAGCCACCCAGGAGCGAAAGCTACAATCAAGTTGGTAGCACAACGGTACGTGTGGCGCAGTATGAATAAAAGACTGTAGAGACTGGGCACGTGCATGTATAGACTGTCAGCGCTCTAAAGTCTTTCGACACACTAGATCGCCAGTACAACCTTTCTCGCCACCGTTTAATAGATTTTCGCACGTGCACATCGATCTAATTGGACCATTACTTGTTTCGCACGGTTATAAATATTGCTTAACGTGCGTAGACAGGTTCACACGTTGGCCCGAGGTAGTTCCTTTGGAGGATATAAAAGCCGAAACTGTGGCTAATGCCTTTACTCGTGGCTGGATCTCGCGTTTCGGATGTCCTCATAAAATAACCACGGATAGAGGAAAACAATTTGAGTCGCACATATTTAAAGAGCTGTCTAAACTCACAGGTTCTCTCCACATCTCTACCACCGCTTATCATCCAGCAGATAACGGCCTCGTCGAGCGCTTTCACCGACAACTGAAAGGTGCCATCATGTGCCACGCAGATAAGGACTGGTATGAAGTTCTTCCGCTAGTTCTTCTAGGAATACGCTGCGCCTGGAAAGAGTATATAGCAGCATCGTCTGCTGAGTTGGTGTACGGTGAGACGTTACGTTTACCTAGTGATTTCTTTATATCGAGCCTAAAACAAGTCACTGACTACACAGATTTCGTATCCAGGTTACGCTCACATATAAGAGAGTTAAAACCCTCAATAGTCGTTCGACATGGAACCCCAAATGCATTTATTCATAAAGATTTGCATAAGGCGTCGTACGTGTTTCTAAGGCAAGATGCTATCAAGAAAGCGTTGCAACCTCCTTATTCCGGTCCATTTAAGGTCATAGAACGCGATAAAAAAACTTTTAAAATTAACGTAAATGGTAAAATTATTACGGTGTCTGTTGACAGATTGAAACCAGCCTATACTCTCAACGATTCTACGGAGCCCTCCGAAGAACTACATAAAGAACCCAGCTCGGCCTACACCACAAAATCTAGCCGAAAAGAGAAGTTTACGGACTTCTACCGACCGTAAAGATCTCCGGGGGGGCTGCTGTGGCAGCACGGCCGTAGCTGTTGACCGTTCGGCAATCGTCGGGAGCCCTCGGCTGCGCTGGAGCAACCGGTTCGTTTTTCGCCGCCTCGCCAGTCGATGTGACCGTCCGACGCCGTGAGGCCGTTCGTCCGCGCTCCGATCCACGACTTTAAACTTCGTAGAAATAAACGGTTATTTAATATATGTGGTGTGTTGATTATTCGCATCCCCACATCGACTTGTATTGTTTGCGACCGTTAGTAGGCTGCGCGCGTCCGGTGTTTTGATTTGAAAATTTGGGCTAATTGTGCGCGTCGATTTGAATTTACTATTGAATATTTGGGTCTAGTTAAGACCGCCTCGAATTGAGTGTCTGTTTTGAGTGTTACGTGACAAGAGGCCTAATTTGAGTTTTGAACTTGTATTGAGTAATAATTATTAACTTAACTTGATTGACATTAATTTGATTCGACGAGTTGCTTCGTGGCATTTTGATATATCCCGTGTTTGTAATTCTGTGCTAAGTGAACCCGGAACATTGAATATTGAACTTTGACCTACTGTTTTTTACTTGTGTCGAGTGTCACTTGTTTTAATTTCAATGAACGTTGATTTGGTTGACTTTGAAGTTAATTAAATGTACAATAAGGTTGATAAACTAATACAGTGAAATAAAAGCAGAAGTTTTCAATTGGTGAACGCCCCACTTGAGGGATCTCACTTTTGGAGAGAAGCAGCGCTTGTGGATCTGCGGTCCGACTTCAACGGTTAAGTCAGGTTACATTGTACACACTGTAGTGTTATGCTACTTATCATTTTACATTATTTTAAATTCATTTTTCCATTCTGTTTCGATTTTCTGTATTCACTTCAAAACTGGATATTTTATATCACCTTTATTTCCATAGGATCCTGTAACGATTTTAAACCATAAGAACACAATAACAAATCATTTCTACTTCGTATTTTCACATTATCAGCACTTTTAAATTGGTGTCAATGGAGTCTACCTTTTTTCGATCTTTTAGTTAGTTTTCCGTAACTCTACAATCTCGGGCTTTGTGTGGGCAGTTGCGCTACCTTTTTTCCTATATCAATAATATCTCATTTTCCACTTAAATCTTGCCGTTTTCTTATTATAAGCCTAAAACCAAAATTTGACATGTTTTGACATTGTTGTTTATTTGATTTCCATAGCAATTATATTCAAATTTGCTACCGGTCTGTTGTTCCTATTTCGATAATTCCACATAAATACTCTTTTCTCTTGACCATTTACAAAAAATTTGCGTTTAATTTAAATAATTTTTCCGTTCTCTTTAGAAAGGTATAAAAGCCGAACAATCGGTGAAGAAAGGAGTCTCGCTTCAGTTCTCGAATTGGAAGCATCTCCTAAAGGCCTTATCCCGGGGCCGCACTGCCCTGGGATCCTGCAAGCCTCCACCTACACGTGAAGTCTTCGGTGAAGCCTTCTTCAAGCGCGGAGCCGCACCACTCCGGAATCCTACAAGCCTCCATCTACCTCGGAAGTCGTCGGCAGACTACTTCAAGCGCGGGGGCCACACTACTCCGGGCGCTACGACTGCTTACTCCAGGCGCCGAGTGCACCTACCGCCGGCGCTACCTTTGGGCGCTGCAACTGCTGACTCTAAGCGTTGAGCGCACCTACTCCAGGCGCTACGTGCGCCGGCTCCGGACCCTGCGTGTGCTGGCTCCAGGCGCTGCGTGCCGTCGCTGCTAAGAAACCTACCTCTACAAGCGCAACCGGCGTGTGCTGGCTTCAGGCGCTGCGTGTCGTCGCTGCTAAGAAACCTACCTCTACAATCGCAACGTGTGTCGCTTCGACTTTTAGGCTCCACTACAACTCTATATTCCCCTATTCTCCTACCTTTATTTTTTTGTAATCTAATTGTACTCTCACTTCATTCATCATCATCCTCATTTCATTTTTTTATAAAATTGTAAATATCTTTGAATTTTAAATATATTTTTGTTTTTGTTGTATTTTTGTTGTTTTGTTTTTTTCAGGTTAGATTCTTTTTGTTCTTTATTGTCGCTTCACGACAACACTACTACACACTACTTACATGTACACCACTTACCACCTGACTGATACCCTGTGGTCAACCCTACCTCCAGAAATCGGTAAGTTGTGCATGCTTATTTGTCAGCCGTTTTTGAACAATTATCCATAGGCCATTGGGCCCGAACCCTCGGCTGCTCGTCGAGGAGGCTACTATGGGCCCTAGCCAAGGCGACTTTTGCCGGGGCAGCTGGGGGCCGTTACACCGCCAATACACATTTTTATTGGATACTTAATTATGTTGTAAACCACATTATTAGTAATTAGAGATTTGAAAAATATTTAAAAAAAGTTTGTTTCAAGTATAAAATGTCGTGATTAGTTTCAAACTTGCAACTGTTTGTACGAGAAATGTATTATGCATCTTTCATGTGAAACTTTATTTCATAAAGAATATGTAACAAAAATTATTTTTAAATAGATCCACATTAAAATAATGTAATAAACAAAATAACATTACTATTAATAAGCGGCGTTTCGCGCGCTCCTCAAACTCCAACCCGCTACCCGCACTTCATCGTAGGACTTTAGTATAGGAAAATCCCCAAAACCACGCACTTCATATGATCGCAAATGTGTCGTCTAGTATACGCCAACTGAATTATTTTGAGCCCGTATTTTTTCATTAGTTACATATGTATTTAAACATGAAAAGTTTAATAAACATAAAATTTTGTCACAATTCAATTGTCATTAAAAGATTTAAAAATAATGGTTGTTTATCAACGACCGATAAAAAAATACCTATGTTAATTAAGGTTT